TACTCTTTTCCATCATTTCTTTATGGCTTGCTCACAGAAATATTTTTGTTCACTTTGATAACAAATTCAATGAACATATTTTTTTAAGGTTAGGCAATGAGATTGGAGCTACAGTTTACATAGCTATGTTTAGCCGACCAAAGGGCTAGAAATTTAATAACTATGCTCCTTTTTTTAAGTATACTTACCTACTTACCATGACCTTGTTATTCCACAATGACTCTTTTCGAGAAGAAGCAATCATGAAAAGAAGAAAAAATTAACCAGTCAAAGTTAAGACAATCCCGTTAAGTGTCAAGATTTGGTCTGACGTGCTGTATCAGATGAAACCTATCATAGATCCCTTATAACTGAGTTTCACAACAGAAAACAAAACCCAGGTAATAACAGTAACCCATCTGAAGAAAGGAAAAAATCACAAGAAGCCATAGATAGCATTAAGTCATACATCAACAAAAGACGATAACCAATACAAGGAATCTACATTCTGCTCTCTCGGAGAAAAACCTGTCAACAATACTCTAGTGGCAGGTGCTCTTCCAGGATATTACATAAACTAAAGGGCATCTATACAGTTGTATTTAAACCTACGATGGAAGAACAAGTATACCTTACATTCAATTTGTTAAAATTATGAAAAATTACAAGTTGCAGTATAGATTCAGCACAAGCAAGTTCCTTGGGCTAAAAAGTTTGTAATTGTCTGAAAAAATTTGCAACATCTACTGGTGTATAAATTTAGTTTCTCATTTTTGATTTGACTTAATGTGAGTTCCAGATTCTTTTTCACTTTACCTTTTCTTTCTTGAAGTTTCACAATTTTAGGTATTTCTTCCAGTTCTCTTTCAGGACCAGTGGTGGACATAACAGATGGGCTTGAAGGTCTTTCTAAAAGTGCACAGAGCAATATTAGCATTCAGTGTCTTTCATGTGTCACACTAAAATGTACCTATTCCGTCAACCCTCACAACCGCATACTTAATATTCCTTTAAACTGAAGAACTGAGTGGAGAATATTCTACATTTGGAAAGCTGGGGGAAAAAATTAAGGCATTTAAGCATTTTTTTTTCTGGTTCCACCCAAAAATTCATTTAATTTGAATTTGCTTTGCCTTCTAATTTCTAAGATTTCTCCAGAGGTTCCTGTTGTCCAGCTGAAGCAGTGGTGCGCTCTACATGGAGAGACAAGGTGTCTTACCAAACAGTTATAAAGAAAGAAATTGGCATTCAACATGTTTTTGTAGGTAAAAAGTTGGAAATAGGCATCTAACACATATCACAGTCATGTTAAGGTATAATAGTCTGTTTGTATTGGCTGTCCCATTTATCACTTATGATCGTTATTGAAGAAAGCTATACATGCTATTTTGATATATACAGTTTCTTTTTCAGTTTGAATCTTGAACCAATTTAAAGAGAATACCATATAAGTGACCTTCACACAACTCCCCTGATATTCAAGAGAATCAACTTCATTGAAATCATCAAACTACCCTGATGACTTGAGAGGATCAGCCTCATTTCTTTCAAGTACTCCACAAACATAGAGTGCTCTTCAGCAGAGTGTGGTGGTGTAGTCTGGAGGTAATTCATTGCAATTGAGGTCAGGACTCCACTTGAATCTATTGTTCCTAGATTAAGTTGTTCAACATAAACTTTAATGTTTGACTCAACATCTACTGATTTGAAAGAAAAAGTAAAAATCAGTATGATCCCAATTTCAAGGAATTAACTTTCTCAATAGTCACCTCTACACTCAGGTATAAGTATAACATACATTGTTAAAATTATGAAAAAGTACAAGTTATAGTGTAAAGATTCACCACAAGCAAGTTCCCTGGGCTCAAAAGTTTGTAATTGTCCCAAAAATTCATAACATCTGCCAGTATATAAATTTAGTTTCTCATTTTTGATTTGCCTTAATGTGAGTTCCAGATTCTTTTTCGCTTTACCTTTTCTTTCTTGAAGTGTTGCAATTTTAGGTATTTCTTCCAGTTCTATTTCAGGACCAGTGGTGGACATAACAGATGGGCTTGAAGGTCTTTCTAAAAGTGCACAGAGCAATATTAGCATTCAGTGTCTTTCATGTGTCAAACTAAAATGTACCTATTCCGTCAACCCTCACAACAGCATACTTAATATTCCTTCAAACTGAAGAATTGAGTGGAGAATATTCTACATTTGGAAAGCTGGGGGAAAAAATTAAGGCATTTGAGCATTTTTTTTCTGGTTCCAGCCAAAAGTTCATTTAATTTAAATTTGCTTTTGATTTGCCTTCTAATTTCTAAGATTTCTCCAGAGGTTCCTTTTGTCCAGCTGAAGCAGTGGTGCGCTCTACATGGAGAGACAAGGTGTCTTACCGAACAGGTATAAAGAAAGAAATTGGCATTAAACATGTTTTTGTAGGTAAAAAGTTGAAATAGGCATCTAACACATATCACAGTCATGTTAAGGTATAATACTCTGTTTGTATTGGCTGTCCCATTTATCACTTATGATCGTTATCGAAGAAAGCTATACATGCTATTCTGATATATACAGTTTCTTTTTCAATTAGAATCTTTAACCAATTTAAAGAGAATGCCATATAAGTGACCTTCTTACAACTTCCCTGACATTCAAGAGAATCAACTTCACTGATATCATCAAACTACCTTCATGACCTGAGATGATCAGCCTCACTGCTTCCATGTACTCCAGAAACCTAAAGAACTCTTCCCTAGACTGTGGTGGTGAAGTCTGGAGGTAATTCGTTGCAATTCTGTCCAGGACTCTTCTTAAATCTGTTGTTCCTAGATTAAGTTGTTCAACATAAACTTTAATGTTTAACTCAACATCTATTGATTTGAAAGAAAAAGTAAAAATTAGTATCCCAATTTCAAGGAATTAACTTTCTCAATAATAACCTCAACACTCAGGTATAAGTATAACATAGATTTTTAAAATTATGAAAAAGTACAAGTTATAGTGTATAGATTCACAACAAGCAAGTTCCCTGGGCTCAAAAGTTTGTAATTGTCCCAAAAATCCATAACATCTGCCAGTATTTTAAAGCTTATTTTTAGCTCAGAAAAGCCATGTGAAGAATATTTACAACTCACATTTGGAGTATGATCCCTGAGGTGGGATTTTTAATCAACAAAAGTATTCAAGCTGCAGATAAGAAAGGGGGGACAGGGGGGTCCTCAACTCCCACTTCCTGTACTACTTTCTCTTGCCACTGGTACTTTTGTGCCCCTCTCTTTCCTGACTCCCACCCTTCATCATATTAATCATGTTTGCAGTCTGGGAAAAATTTTATTGCTATGAAAAGTTTTGAATCAAATTATATATCAGTGGATTATGCCACTGTAAAGTTATTATGAAATAATTATCATCTTTTGTTGCATTATGGCAAGAACTGAAAAGATTAAATACCTGTGGATCTACATAATTTGCTGATTTAAACAGTAAAATGCTCTCCATTTTAAGAAAAAAATTTCTGCTGGGTTTTATGATGCACTAATTGCACCATTAAGATATTTCTGCAGAGAAAACTTTTGTTTTAAATCGTGTACAGTCCTGAAATGACTATGAGATGTTTATCCCTCTCTGCTGTCTTCCGTAGTGTGACAGAGCAAGAAATGAAAACATAATGTGCTGGTGGCTGTAAGCCAGAAATCAGAAAAAGAGAGAACTCAACCATGTATCATGTGCAAAGGACAAACTTCTAAGATACTTGGAAAAAAACAATAA